CTTTGTTTTAGCCTATCAAAAGTTTGTAAAAAGCTTGAATGATTTTAGGATATTATTTTTTAAAGTTTAAGACTCCCCTATACTCTACTTCAAAAAACAATTAAAATAGGAAGAGAGAACCAATCAGAGTGCAGGTAACAGAAGCAGACACTGAATCATTAAACTAGGCACACCTTTGTCTCTCTTTAGTTACTATACTAGGATTTCAGTATGGTAACTAAAGAAAGACAATTTTAAATATAGAGATAATTTTAAGTATATAAGGTAACAATTTTAATATAATTTTAATATTTAATATTTTAATAAAAATTTAAATATATAAGGTAACAATTTAAAAATATAAAGATACAAAATCTCATTGCAAGTCGAAGAAGTCATTGTTCTTACAAGTTGGCTGCCCAAAGTATAATATGAATAGTATGAAATGATGATAATTTGGATGACTTACAAAATATTTTAGAGGGCACTACTGGAGATTATTTTTAAAAGATGACTGATACAGTAAGCCTGCTGGTGGATACCTGATTCAAACATGTTCAGGTACTTAACTAATATATTGAGAACTTTGCAGTTAATCTGACACTTACATTTTCCTTTAAAATAAGATATAAGGTCACTATCAACTTGTGCTTTTCAAGGTTTTTTTTTGAGTCAGGAAATGTATTTAGAATTGTTTACCTACAAGTGGCACCAGCTAAAATTATAAACATGATGAAATAAATCTCTACATTGTATAAATGAAAAGGACAGGTAGGGAGTTGTTTTTCTGAGGACTTAAAAGATTAATATTCCAATGAACCTTCTAATTCTTTGAAGGCCCACCCCCACTGTCACAGAAGTTCAGCAGTCCCCGTGTGAGCAAAGGCCAGGGATGCAACCCCTGTTTACGCAACACTCAGTACCAAAGGTTAAGCAGTCCCTACCTGATAACTTTTACTTTAGATTGTTTTCTAGAAATGCCTTTGCATGTTATCTGCAAACAGTAAGTCTTCTGCAGAGAAAGGGTTTATTCACTGGATTCTTTGATATCTACCTCCAAGATAGTGCCTATTTAGTGTTTCCACCCAAATAAAGGTAGACTTTTATCATATTAAAAGTCATCTTTATGACTCAGGGAGAGATTTCAACATTATTATACATTCTTCTAAGGGTTCAGGAAATGTTATGTCTCGTCAAGGGTTAATAACTTTACCACAAGCAGAGTTGGGGAAAGGAATAGAATTCCTTTCATATATTCATCAATAAATATTTATTGAGGGCCTCCTATGAAGGACAGAGATGTCTCCAAAAATAAGCCAAATATGGATCCTGCTCTCAAGGAATTAATTCACACAGTGCTGCGTGACCAGACCCAGATAGGTAAATCATTATGGCACAGGATAATTATTTGTGGCAAATGTGAGTTAAAAAATGACTCCTAACAGATTTCACAGGAAGAAGTGACTAACCTTAAAAATTTGTGCATCCGCAATTTCATTACTTCATTTTGAATCCCCAAACCCCAGTGCAAATCTTTTTAGGGGACACCATCTGAATTTAATAAAACTTGCTATAGAAGAATCTCTCATAGAAAGTATTCAAGCTGTGGCATCTTTCTAGTACTGGAGAGGCCACCAAGATTCAATGTTACCCATCCACATGGCTACCAGGAACTCTAAGGATGGTCTGTTCTAGATGGGGCTGTCAGGCCACCTAGGTCTAGGTAGTAATTGTCATGCATACATGGGGCGCTGCAGCTTTAAAAGCATGTTTGCATCCATCTTCTGTTAATCATTATCCCTGAAGACAGACTGGCACCATGAAAAGACAGCCAGGACACCAGGGTCTAATTCTGCTCAGTTCTCTCTGATGTAAGATGATGGGTCTGGTCACTAGATTCTCTCCACAGTTCCTTGTGTAGCTAAGTGGATAGGGCAGATGTCATTATCACCATTTTATAGACAGTGAAACTAAGGTCAGGAGAGCTTAAGGGACTTGCCCAAGGTCTAAGATAACAACTGATAACCAATACTTGAGATTAAACACCAGGCCTGTAAGGACCAAGCATTTTTCTACTACATGGTAGTCAGAACCACTCCTAGTATTTGTGGGCAAGAGGACAAATAGAGGTCCACATAATTAATCCAAGTATTTAACTTATAAATCAAGATAACAAATTTAACAAAATATGATTTATCTTTCACCTTGACAAATACCTCTTCACAAGGACCTGGATGGCCATGTGTGAATCACCAATTCTTGGGATCCCCCAACGACCAGGCTAGAACGCGGCAGGGAAGGAAAAGCCAGCTACAAGGGAGCCACCTCCCTGCATTTAGAAGGGTTCCCAAGTGCCTGGGAGTACACACCCCTTCCCACAGGTCCGAGTACTGTCCTCGCTCCGACAAAGAGCCATTCCTGGACACAAGAGTGAGTTTAGGGGCCCAAGAGAGAACTGGAAGAGGGTTTGGGTCTATTGGCATGAGATTCCAGAATTCTGAGCATGGTCTAGAAGTGTTTGAGTTCTTTGATCCTGTGCGAAGGGACACTGCCAGAGGAGAGCCAGGGGGCTGTGAGCAAGGCAGAGGCCCCTCTTGGGTGGGTTTGAAGAGACAGTCTGATCACACCACCTCAAGACTGAACCCAAGAAAGAGTAAAATCCAGGAAAGTTCTTGTGAGAATGTAGTATGGTTTATTAGTTACAAGACCAGCTGCAACCAAACACCTGGGTTGGGATCCCAGCTTGGCCGCTCATTAGCTGTGAAATCTCAGGCAAGTTACTGAACATTTTAGGGCCTCAGTTTCCTCATCTTTAACATATGTATAGTAATTATTATTATGAGGAGAATGTATGAGGTAGCACACGTAAACCGCTTGGCAGACATCAAACAGTATATGTTCAGACACAGGGGTCAGGTCTCTCCAGCTCTATCAGGTGATTGTCCGAGAGGATTTGCAAAGAATTATATAAGCATAATTATATCCAATGTCTGATATTCGAGATTAAACCCCTCTTTCCTGAACAGCGGGCCGGGCGCAGCGTGGGCACCACACCCCAACCCAAGGCGTCCGCTGTTTGCCCACATCCCGCCGGGTCGGTGGCCGAGGACTCTGCAGACGCACACAGTAAGAGCTAAGGCCGCGGGTTCAGAAGTTAACTCGCTAACGTGGTCGTTGAGTCACAGCGGGACTAAGGAACTGAAACCAAGTGTTAGCACACCGCCTGGCTCATCCCTCCAATGCAGACGGTTAAACCAGTGGGAAGTAGCATCGGATAAAAACTGCAGGGGACAGAGCCAGGGCCGACGCTGCTCGGTCCCCTCCCACCCTCTTCACTCTGGGGCTCAGGCTAACTTCGCTGTCTTCTGACAGGTCTTAACATCTCTCCACTGAGAGAAAAGAGGGAGACTCAGAGCAAGTCCAGGCATCCCGCTCGCACCTCCCACGAGTGCGAGCCGAGCCAAGTCGAGCGACTGCCCTCCCGAAGCGAAGACGTTCTCTAAGGGCAAGCCTGGGCATTCCCCCATCACTCCGTGTGAAATGACTCCAAAGCGTACTATTCCTCATCCTAGCTCCCTCCTCTCCCCGCAAAACACTTGGATAGTTTGCTGTTGCTTGTCGACCAAGAACTGTAATCAGCCCTTTCTGCTTCCTTGAAGGGTCAATCGTGACTGGGCACCGAGAAGTCGGACTCTCTCAAAACGCTAACAAAGGACTATATTTAGCTCTAAGCTCCCCGCCTAAATTCCTCTTAGTTTTTCACTCTTGGCTTCAAAATGACTAGGTTGGGGAAGTGGGAGGAAGAGGTGGGGGAGCAGCCGCAAAAGAACAGCTGTGCCTCCGCCTCTCAACTCAATCTCTATAAATAACCAATCACGAGCAAAGGCTACTTTTTAGCCAATGAAGCAGCCCAAACGGATAAAACCTTGGCGGTAGCCAATGAAAAAACATTTGGGAGTGTGAGATTTGCGCCCCGGG